GGAGGCGTGGCGGCGCTCCCGCCGAGGGTTTGGATCCCACATATAGACCGGTTCCCGCTCACTGGCTGAGCGAGGCGCGGGAGCAGCGCCGAGGGTTGCGATCCCGTTGCCGGTCCCAGTCTGGTACGGGGGCGACACTGAGGGTTGCGATCCATTGCCGGACACGGAAAAAGACAAAAAAAGGAAAAAACAAAACAAAACAAAAAAAAACTTATAGGTGAATGTTCACAACACCATTTTTGGAACAGCCAAAAACAGTAAACAAGCTAAATACCAACAGGTAAACAAATACATGAATTGTGGTATAAACTTATTAAAGGGTATATTTTGAATATGTATAGTTTACTATAAATCAATTAGATCTCAATAAGGCTGTTAAAAAGTAACTTTTAAAGTCAGATAGCTAAATTTACATTCTATAACTTCACTGAATCTTTTAGGCACCTGAGGCAATGGTCATTACACAGATAAGGAGTTATGTAAATGAGATGACTAATATACTTTTTATTGAAAAAAAGATAACAATAATAGCTAACATTTATTGAACGCATAGTATGTGACACTGTACAAAGACTTTTTTTTTTTTTGTCTTTTGTCTTTTTCCGTGTCCGGCAACGGATCACAACCCTCAGTGTTGCCCCCGCACCGGACCGGGGACCGGCAACCCTCGGTGCTGCTCCCGCGCCTCGCTCAGCCAGTGAGCAGGAACCGGTCTGTATGTGGGATCCGAACCCTCGGGCGGGAGCGCCGCCGCGCTTCCCAAGTGGCGCACTATCCAGTGCGCCACCGGGCCGGCCCTACAAAGACTTTTTATATGGATTATCTAATTTAAACCTCACAACAACCTTTGAGATAAACTAAACATTATTATTATTGCTATTTTATAGATAAAAAAAATTAAAATTCAGGGAGTGGCTAGAGCCCAGAGAGTCATACAGCTTGCAAGTAGTGGAGCTAGGGTTTAAGGCTAATCTGACTCAAGTCCTAGCTCTTAACAACTATACAACATCACTTCTTCCATACGACCTAAATATTTAAGATAATGATTATATAAGACATTATTTTACAAAGTTATTGTTCTATAGGCCCTTTAATAAAAAGTTTTTTAAAAATGGCAAAAAGCAGCATTTAGTTATAGCCTATTCAGATTACTACATTCATAAACAACATTCAATTATCTATGTCATAGAGCTTCGATACAGAGAATGAAAAGAAAAAGAAAAACACCTCCTGAATGAGTAGAAAACTTACTGTAGGTGCCCTCCTGCTAAAAGAGAAGGTACCAGACCATCTATGGGTATTCCCTAAAGTAGATTTTTTAGAATGCAAATAATCAGGAAATAACCATAGGTGATAAACTTAATCTGCCTGCCCTGCTCGTGCCTCCTCCTGTTCTCAAAGAGTGTGATCCCACAGTTTCTGCTGTGTAAACTTTTAGCCACTGGCTACAGTGGCTCATAGTAGTAGTAAACGCCTAATCCAAGCTGAGCCAATCAAATTCTCTCTAGGTACAGAGGGATTTCAGATTTGTGGTGCTCTTGAACTAAAGGTCCATAAAAACTGAGGTGGATGTTTTCAGGCATAGACACACAAAGGCATAGAATGTGAGAACATATAAAATTTCATAAAATATGAAAAATAGGTAAAAGGTGAATACAAGAGATAGGCAAGATTGAAAGATGGGATGGGATATAGACTGCAGAGAGGGAGAGGGTCACTGCCTTAACTTTCCAATCAGCTATATTTGCTTTGCTTATGCTAGATTGAGGAGACTTGTCCTGCCTTCCTGATCAGGACAAAGAATTACATGTACATCAATTCTATTGTATTCAAATGGATTAGCATTATAATGGTTATTTCTATTTAAATTCAACTATTTTCCATTTCAGGTCTATAAATCAAACTGAACCATGTAAGATCATCAAATTAAAATGTGGGACACATTAAAAATGGGACACAATTTTTAATAATTCTAGAAAATTTTAACTTTGGTATACTTAATACAAATTTAAAATGGCTTTTCAATTTCAAAACATCATGTTGTTCACAGTAAATATATACAACTTTTATTTGTTGACTAAAAAGTAAAGTCTAAAATGGCTTTTCAGATATTGTGCAATTCTCTGCTACTGACTTATAGTTTGGTTATCAATGAATGGCTGAAAATATGAACATTCATATTCCAAAGAAAATATTATTTTCGAGTAGTGTGAGTTTTTCCCTTACTTAACTGAAATACTATTTGAATTTCTTTATAGCAAAACAGGGGCCTATCAAGAGAGTGCAGATATTTGTATGTGCCTATCCTTCAACAGAAAATGTTCTACTTCTATCTAGGAAGGAGGTGAACTCTTTAATGATATGAACTCAGGGGAAACATGAGAGAGCAATAACAGAAAAAGGAGAGATCTGCTCACGCAGCCAAAGCAGCTGAATTAATTGTGGCAATGAAGAAAGTGACAGATGTCTCAGCCAAAGCCCTCTCAGCTCCTCCTCACGAAATGCTCCTCTTTCCATGATTAGCTTGACGTGGGAGCAGTACATCTTTTTTTTTAAGCTTCATTAAAAAAAATCTTTTTTTTTAAGTGTCACAAGAAAATTACAGACCCTTGATTCATTACATTTCCAATCTCTTTTAACACACATTAGCAGTTGTGTATAAGTGCATATCTTTTTGGGCTGAACAAACTTTTGCAAATAAAGGTGGTGATTTTGACAACATGTTTACTTGCTTTCATTAATCTTCCAAGTCAGATGCCTAAAAAACAAAATCTAATTTCACTTTTCACAAGTAATTTGAAAGGTTCCATTTACTTAAATATTATTACCTATGTTCTTTAATTAAAATATTAATCCAGACTGTCTGGAATGTGTCCAGACACATTAGAGATAACTGAACAACACTAAACTAAAACTATTTATAAGCTAAGTGGAAAATAAAGAAAAAAAAAAGGGGAAAAAAAACCCCAAACCCTTTCAATCTACTAGTATTATTATAAGTTCAGGGTACTCTATTAAGATCATGGAGCAAAGCACAAAGCATATTTTCCATATGATCCATAAAGAATCTAACATCTGATTAAACACACAGGAGTTGCCAATATGAGGGGTCCTCAAAAAGTGCATGGAAGGATTCATATTACCTTTCGATTCTATTTTTCCACAGGCTTTTCGAAGTACCCTTGTCCGTAGCAATGTTAGTTTATTACCAAGTCACACCTAATAGTAGAGTCAGAATTCTGACAGGGAAAATATGAGCCCATAATTAAAAAGCCTACTTCTGTAAAATCTTAAAATGCTCTTTCCATGGTTACTTTGGTGTGTGTACATATGAGGGTGAGAAGGGAGGGGATTTTCCAAATATTTCTTCCATGGTATCATTTTCAGGATGAGAGAAGATTATGCTATGAAAAAGCTAATTGAAGTTAGCTAAATCAATGCTAAATTCAATGCACCAAAATTTGTTAACCTTTGTCTACTGTTAAATTTTCTAATTCAAACATCAATCATCTCTTTCCATCTTGTCGAAATCTAATGGGTATCTCTTACCCTGTTTCCTAGATCACAACTGTTGAATCTTTGGAACCCAGCACAATTAATTATTCCCCTCCTTTCCTATAACAGCATTTTTATCCATTTTCTCTCTAATCACTGTTTCCCATTAAGTGTTGTTCCATCTTAAAACAAAACAACTACCCCAAAACAAAAAAACTTCTCTCAACCTCAACTTTTCTTTGGCCATAGCCCTCTGTCCTATCATCCCATGATGGCCAATGTTTAAGCTCACCAAGGCCCTTTAGCTCTTATCAATCCACTGCAATCTGTCTGCTGCCCTCACCACTCTACTGTAACTGCTCTCTTCCAGGTCCACAATTACACTTTTCAATTCTCAACTGTTTTAGCCCTCACCAAACATCTAATACCTTTGATTATCCTCCATGAAGCAGTCATCCACAAGTTTCTGTGTTATCACATGTCTCTTTTTTTTTATCACATATCTCTTCTGAGCCTCTCCCTCAGCCTTTCCTTAAGTATTAGTATTTTTCAAGTTTCTATTCTACAACCTTGTTGTTTTTTCATTCCAAATAATCACTCACCTTGAATAA